GTAAGTTAAAAAAATGTCTTTTACGAGAAAAATCAACCTTAATAAGTAAATGGGTGAATATGCTGAAAGAGGAAATGCTAAACTTTCGAGATTATCGAAGTCGGGATTGATTTATTGAAATATTGAAGTAAAAATAACTTATGGAATGTCAACAATGCAAAAAACAAATCCCTTTCCCTTTTAATGAAGAAGTTTTAGAAATACCCGATGCTGGATATTTTTGTAATCAAACTTGTTATAATAACTATTCAGAGAGAGAGAGAGAGAGAGAGACCAAAATGGAAGCAAGTGTGATATCTGTGGTAAACCAACTCGACTTATTTTTATTCCCCGTGGAGAAAGAAAAATTTATTGTTATAAATGTAAAGAAAAAGCCGAGCAAGAGGGAACGGCTTCCTGATTGTCTCCTAATGACCCTCGAAGGAAAACCCCACCAACTAATTACCTTTGATTATGAATAATCTTAATTATTTGTGCTGTGGTTTTGATTGGCTCACTTATTTATTGAAGTTTCTCAAAAAGTAAAGGAAAATGAAGATGCCGAAATTGTGGTGGTCACAAATATGGCTGTGATTGTCCTTTTCTTTCCAAATAATTATGAAAACATTAGCCCTAGACCCGGGAGGCAAAACCGGCATATATTACCAAAATGATAAAGAAGAACAATTTATCGAAATAAATAAAGAGTGAAAAGAAACTTACGGAGAAATTAAAGAATTAATAAAACAAAAACAAATCCAGCAAGTAATTTTTGAAGACACCAATTATATCCACCGAAAAACCAAGGACGGACTTAATTTATTTCGATTATTAGGAGCCATTGAAATTTTGGAAGTAAAACAAATCAAAAAAGTAAATGTTCTAGCCGTAAAAAAACTTACCAAACAACTATTATCCGGAATAAAGCAATTAACTGAAATAGAATATTTACAAGGAAGAGGTAAAGGCTGAATGTTTAAAGGAAAAAGAATAAGTATTCACGGTTATTTCAAAAAGAAATTCCCTAGTCTCAATAATGCTTATTAAACTCAATTTCATAAGGTCGGTTATCTTTTCACTTAAAACATATTCGATACTGGTTATCAACTTTTATTCGGTATTCTCCTTTTCTTCCACCCTTTAATGGTTTTAAGGTTTTACCGAAAATTTGTTGTAAATAGGGAAAGTGATTAGTCGAAAATAACAAAACCATCTCAGCTTTGGCTCTTTCTTGAATGGCACGGTCTAACCCTTTTTTAATAAAATCTCTTTCTCAGATTTTTCGAGTGGTTTCATCTTTAAAAGTATGGGGGAATATTTCTAATAACACAATTTATTTACTGGCTCTTTTCGGTTCTGCTTGGTGGTAAGGTCTAATTTGTTTTTTTACTTCTTCTTCTTGCTTATCTTTCCAATATTCTCAATCATAGATTTGTTGAATATTTAAAAATACTTCGGCTCCGACTTGAAAATAATAAGCCAATCGGCAAGCCATATCAGTATCAATTCTTCCTTTTTCTTTGATTAAATCTTCTAACTGATAAACTGGGATATTAATATCCTGGGCTACTTTTTTAATGGTTAAGTTTCGGGGTTCGAAAAAGTGTTCTTGTAATATTTTACCGGGATGAATAGGAGGTAATTTATTGCTGGTCATAATACTTAATTTTAGGGTATATTTTTTTTACAACTGGACTGAGTTGTAAACTTTTAATTTTTACAACCAAAAAAGTGGTGTATAAAAAATTGAGCTTTTTTCTTCTTTATATATAAGACTTGTTTTTTTTATTATACACACGTGCACGAAGCAAAACAAATCAATCAATTATTATTCTCCCATAGCCTCTATTCACCCTTCAATCAGTTCTGGTTTAAAACACTCACAGCCTTTTCGGTGTTCTCCTTTTCTTTCCAAGGCAAACGGACAGGCTGGTCTTCCTCTTTTAACATCTCCAAAATCTAATTCTCATTCTTGGA